GCATGGGAGGTCTTCTTATATCCATAAAATATTTCAAAACATGCATGTAAGATATCTTTCTAATTCATTTATTGTTCTTGACAATTGTGCAATCACAAATAAAAATTTTGTTTTTATAAAATATTTATAGTTAATATTTAAAAAGAACATAGAAGTAAATTATAATTTTATTATTTACTGTAATGGAAAAAATTGAGGAACTAAGGATAAAGTATACAAATTACATATATACTAGATGAATATCTGTGCATAAGCATATGTTTTTTTTAAAAGTATACGCATATCAAAAAAGTTAAGTACTCTTTTAAAGACATATTTAGTTGCTTTTAACAACATTTATATCATCGGAGTCTCTAAAACGCATAAGTACAAATTTTTCTTCGTATATAAATTTATCTATTTTTGTACCATTATATTTTGAATTCTTGCAAGCATTTGATCACTTAAATAATTTGTGGAAAAGCAACATTTCTCTCTGTTTTTCATTTGCTATCATAGATTCTTTAACTCAACCTTGTATTTCCAAAATATATTGATAATTAAATTTCACAACTGAGTCTATTGGGTACTAATTATTGACCTGTAAATCGATTTACTCATGAACTCTACCTAACAAAATTATCATTATATCCAATTTGTGGTTTGATTCATCGTAATTTTGAGATGTAATTAATGAATAATCTCAAATTCTCAATTGCACAAAAACTTAGTAAGAAAATGGCGTTAGTTCATTTCCTTGACTATCGATATCCAGCTTCTATTACGATCCAAGAACATGCATAGGTCATAGTCAAAATTCAATATTTAAAAGTTTCAATCTTTCTGTAAAAATCATAAATCTGACCTTGAAATCGATATTGACCTAAATGAGAAGGACTGTGGTGGAATTCTTGAGGGTTTTGCAGACGTTACGGAAGATCTGAAACATTTCTCCACCGAGGCTACTCTCTTCTTCAAAAAAAAAAAACGTTATAAGAACTTGAATTTGGAAAATGCATATTTTTTTTTGTTTACGCAGCCTAACCGGATATTAGGCGACCATATAAAAACATAAAAAAAAAAATCATATTTATATATTGGTAACTGATATTGTTATCATAAACAATATTTATTTCTAGCCTCTAAAGATTACATCTATTAGTTAAATTCATTTTAAAAATAAGTTTAAGCATTATAAAGTAAAAATTTATATTTTGATATTATACGTATATTTAAAATTACCTTTTATATAAAAGTTTATTAAATTTAATATTTGAGACTATATTTTTACTTTCTTATTTATGAATAAGATAAATTCATGTGTTTATTTATTGTGTATATGTTTATATTCAATATTATAGATATCTATACCCAAATAATAATTATCCGCCTAGGCTCCGCTTATACTCCCGTATATACGGTTAGGTGGTAGGTCCTTCTTCCCATTTTGGGCAAAAAAAAGAGGAAATTCAAGCCTTTTATTCAATGAAAGACAAATTTTGATTGTCAGATATTTTTCTCCAGATTAAGACGTTCCCACCATCGGATCAAGCTCATATTTTATTACAAGATACAGGAGGATCTCATCTTTAAAATGAATATTTGATCGCTAAACTCCAACGGTTAGAGCTCAAGATACGCTTGATCTACTGAAATATGTGCAAGTAATATATAAGATAGAGGCGGTTCAGAATATTCACCCATGATCGACCAAAAACCATAGGGCGATCGATCGATCGCAAAGCCACTGGTTTTTATGAAAAGACGATTTAACATAGTTAGGGATGTTAATATGGGTATGAAATTCGTGGGTCTAAATGGGACATGTTAAACCCGTTTAGATCCATTTATCAAATTAAATTAAATGGGGTTAAATGGCCTAACCCGATTAGATCCATTTATTAAATAGGGTTTTTGAGCAAATAAATGGGTACCGTTTAAACCCATTTATCTGATATAATAATTAGTTTAAAATTTATATGTAATAATTCAAATACTAGTCTACTATTTTTTTGGGAATTTTTTTTTAAAAA